GGCACGAGGGGCCCCGGCGGCGGCCAAGGCGGCGGCGGCAGCGCTCTCTGCCGGCCCGGGGGGCCCGCGGGCGCAACGGCCCCGGCCCCGGCCAGCCAGGGTCACCGGCGAGCGCCGGAGCGAGCGGAGCCGCGGCTCTGCCGCCCCGGGCAGACTCCGCTGGCCTCGGGGGGCCGCGCGGGGGCGGGTCGGGGGGCATCGCTTCTTGAGCCTGGGCCCTCCCGCCGCGACCCCTGGAAAGTAGCTTCAAGGGGACGGTGGCCGCGGGGAGCTCGGGGGGCCTCAACCGGGGACGTGCTGGCGAATGTTGAGTAACCAGCTCTCCTCTGCCCCCCAAATGGGTGCAAGACACTTGTATGTTCTACCTGCGTCCCCTAAATCTAGACAGTCAACAAAATCAAACCCGGACTTGTGGCGTTTGCCCATGTTTAAAGTGTAAATATTGACACTGAGCTAGCTCCTGCACTCCCCTGGCCCACCTTTGCCAGCCTCTTTTATGAATCTCCTCTATTCAATCTAAGACCCCACCAAGCTGAGTGTGGGAGCGTCCTTCCCGTAAGCAGGAAGCACACTTTCTGGCCTCCCTGCCTTAACTCAGGCTCTATGCCCGGCCTGAAATGTCCTCTTTCCCCCTCTTCTACCAAACTCCTACAGATCCTTCAAGGGCAACATCCCTCTTGAAACCTCCCTTTTTCCTTTATAAAAATCTTCCTCTTAAACTTGACATTTCATTTTGTTTTCTTCTTCTCTAACATGAGACATAATCTCTATTTGTACCAGTATCTCATTGCCCTTGTAAGTTATGATCTCTAAAGGCAGAAACTTGTTTCTTGCCCCAGTTTTATATCACCCCCCCAACACCTGACACAACATTGTACACACAGTAGTTATTTAATGAATGCTTTTGTATTTCAATAATAGCAACTCATATTTAAAGAATGCCTTTTGGGGGCTCCAGACTGGTGATTTCGAGAGCATGAGGAACTCCTGGTGTGGGGTTGTCCTCCACCAATGCAAATCGTGTATAACTTGTAGTCACACAGTTTCATGAGGCACTGCGAAGGTAAGGGATTTGTCCATGGTCACAAGTATGTGTGAGAGAATCTAGGTCTTCCTCACTCCAAGGCTTATCATCTTCTATCCCTGACCCCAGCAGCCTCTCTTTATAACACTTAATGGTTTACAAAATACTTTGCATACATTATCTCCTTTGATCCTCAAGACCCTTGAGGGTAATCAGGGTAGCTGGATTTATTATCACTATCTTACAAAGGAGGAAATTGAAGCCCAGAGAGACTTGCCCAAGGTCACGAAATTAACCAAGCTAGAATTTATACCCTGGACTTCAAACTTCTTCAGAGTTGCTTGAACGGACCGAGGTGCTGAAGACTAAAAACAAGGCTAAATTAAAATTAACTACAATAACAACATTTATACAGTGCTTTAAGTTTAAAAAGTGCTTCACCTATGTTGACTTATTTGATCCTTATAATAAATGTGGGATTTCTTCATCTATTTCCCATCTTTGCCTGAACTGGCCAGAGTATGTCGATTCTGAAGGCTAAAGAGATAAGCAGAAATGAAAATTTTAATTCGTCCAAATTCACCAGTGGAACTTTCTCCCTGGTTGTTTCTTTCTTCTCACCTTCTCTACAGTCTCCCAAATCCTTCCACTCTTTGCTTCAGTGAAGTACAAAGTATTGACAGGAACCACTCCATTCCCTATCCTGGACTAACCAAACTCAAATTTACTGTCTTCCAGACTTTAAAAGTAGGCTCCCAGAGAGTCTAAACTAAAAGTAAAGTGCTTAAGAGGAGAGGAAAAACCAGTCCAGAGCAATGTAGCAGAAGGAGAAAAACAAGTAGGACTTCAGAAAGCTCTGCCACTAACTAGCTGGATGACTTAAGGACAAGTCCCGTCCTTTCTCTGAACCTTTGTCCTCATCTGCAAAAGGGGTGAGTTAGGAAAGATAAGTTCTAAAGCTCCTTCTAATTCTGACAATGTATACTTTCTTTGTTTTCTTTTTTTTTTTTGGCTAGGCAATGGGGTTAAGTGACTTGCCCAGGGTCACACAGCTAGTGTCAAGTGTTTGGTCTGAGGCCGGATTTGAACTCAAGTCCTCCTGACTTCAGGGCTGGTGCTCTATGCACTGTGCCACCTAACTGCCCCCAATATATACTTTCTTAAAGAGAAAAGAGCGAGGAAAGGGTGACGGGTGAGAAGAGGGAGATACTTTGGAACTGAAAGTAAAATTGAATTAAAAAAAAACAAAAAGGGGACCTTTCAGATCTCACCAATATTGTAATTAGACATTGAGGTTTATCCTTTATTGTGCAATTAAAACAGAGGATTTTACAGTCTCTACACAGGATCATAGATCATAGTGCTGGAAGGGTCTTCACCTGTCTAACAGGCTTAAGAAGAAGAAAGTGGGGCCAGGGAGGCGATGTGACTTGCACATGCGCCGTAAGCCTCAGAGGTGGCATGAGAACCCAGTCTCTCTGACCGCAGAGCCCGGGGCTTAACACTGTCCCTCCGGGCTCGGTCTAGCAGAGGCAGCTTAGCTTAGGTGCCACAGAGCTGGCCTTCCCGGGGTCAGGACCCACGACTGACAGCTACGAGCAGTAGGAGCCTAGAGCCTCAGCAAACTGTACAATTGTCAGATGCAGAGCGGGTGGCGCTCTGCATAGATGGAAGGAATTTCCTCCTCGGGAGTTCCCGAGACTGCTCAAGATCTGCAGGGGGGAGGGGGATCTCGGCCCCCGGTCTTAGCCACCCCAGCGTGTTCTAAACAGACGTAGTTCCCTGGGTTCGGATCTCCTGCGTGACACTTTGGTGGCTTCTTGCAACGCAGTTCCTTTCTCTGTGCCTCAGTTTCCTGCTCTGTAAAATGAAGGTTTGGATTAGAGGATCGCTACGGCGTCTTCCTTCCGTGGAAATTTATATTCCACTTAGTTGGGGGTTTTGTGCTCAGTCGTTGCCTTGACAGCTCGTCTGTTCAGGCCCCGACCGCCAGGACTTGGGGCGCTCGGCCCGCGAAACCTGGAAGCCAGGTATGGGCGAGGCCTGGAGCTGCCGCGCGAGCCCGTCAATCATCAGCTGAGGGCTGGGGGCGAGGAGAACCCTTCTGAGCATGCGCCGGAGGCTGGCAGAGAGCCCGTTCCCACCCCCGAGGAAATCGAACTAATTGAAGCTGTCCGGAACTTCCTTTTAGTCCGTACGCCAAGCCTGTCCGGGTGCTGGGGGAACGGAGGAATGCATTAACCGTGTGCACCGCCGGGACCTCGTTCCCTTGACGCAAGGTTCCGGCCGATCGCAGGCCTCATGCCCGGCCCCGCCCGCCGCCGCCGCCGCTGCCGCCGCCTCCTCCCCGCAGCCGGGCGGGCGCCATGGCGGCTACTGCGGCGGCGGCGGCGGGGACCGTGGGGGACTGCGCGATGAAGCCGCTGCAGATCGCCATGAAGCTGGCCCACGGAGCCATCGAGCTAGACTCTGGCAACCAGCCTTTGGTGAGCGGGGACGGGGAGCCCCGGAGGGGAACCCGAGGGGGAGGGGCGAGAGAGGGAAGCCCCTGTGAGAACGGAAAGGGGGAGGGGCAGCCCCTGTGTGGCGGGGAAGCCCTTGTGGGGACGGAGAGGAGGAGGGGCAGCCCCTGTGAGAAAGGAAAGGGGGAGGGGCAGCCCCTGTGGGGATGGGCAGCCCCTGTGAGGGCAGCCCCTGTGAGAAAGGAAAGGGGGAGGGACAGCCCTTGGAGGGTCCGAGGAGGGGCAGCCCCTGTGGGGACAGGGAGGAGGAGGGGCAGCCCCTGTGAGGAAGGGCACCCATGAATACAGGGAGGGGGTACGGACCCCTCTGGAAGCCCTTGCCCATCACCTACCCACCCCCAGAGCACCCCTGGGGCTCCTTGTCCCTGAAGAAGGGATGACTGGGGAGGGGGCTATCATACTGAAGCATTCAGGCATTGGGAGGTTTTCGAGCTCCCGCTGGACTTGTCTCCCCAGTTACACTGTATGTTCCCCTTAACTTTCTGGGGCCTCTTCAGTACAAAATTCATGTATTTTTAAAGTGCCTACTGGTGCCCCGGGCAAGGGAGATGCAAAAATAGAAGAAATAGTGGTGCAGTCAGTCTGTGACCTCAAGGACCTTAACGGACCTCAGTGGGAGATGCGATGGGGATGAAAATAAGCGTGCTCCGAGGTAGAGAGTGGTGAGGGAGAGTTAACTTTAAAGATACAGCACAGCCCACTTTACACGGTCCTGGACGGAAGGGCATGAGGATGAGCATTGGCAGCCCCACGAAGCAAGTGTAGGCTTCCCCCAGAGGGGACGGGAGCTCCTGGGGGAACTGATGCTGTGGCCCAAAGGTGTCTTGGCGCAAATCTCCACCCTGGTGTTTCTGTCCTGCCTAGGCAGTGATCAATCGGGCTATTTATAACTAGAGGTAAGATAGCTCCTCCGGGAGTTGTTGGGTATAGAAGCCTGACTCCCAGCAGCAGTCAGGAAGAATAGTGGAGAAGAGTGAAGACCTTTAAAGAAGGGAGCCAACTCCAAAGTTGGAGAGCAGGTAGAAAAGCCGGCTGAGCCACTAGACTGGCCAGGGGAGGAGGGAGGTGCTAAATGTCAGGTGTAGTGTGAAATCCAGTTTCCTGAATCTAGGTCCTTTTTTCTGAGTTTATTTCCTTGGGGACCAGATTTTCCTTGATGTCAGGAATTCTATACAGAATTCATATTGGCCTCGTAATAATTATGAAAGTTACCCATCTGAGATGCTAGCGCCCCACTGAGATTCCACAGCCCTAAACTGTGTCAGATGGATCTTCCCCTACAGTGTGTAATTATGGTAAACTCCCCAGGGAATGTTTTAAGGATGCAGAGGAAGAAGGAGATTCCACATTTTTGAAAGGAACTCTCAAAGCATTCCATAACCCCAGTGGACTGAATCATATGCATTATGCCTTGAGCTAGAGGTTAATTAATATGAGTACATTCTCAATGCATGAAACCATAAGTTTAATATATGCTTTTAGATTCCTACATATCCAACTGGGGGCTGAAAAAAGCTGTAAAGTAAGAGGCGATTCAAGGATATTTCTGAATTAATTGATTTGTTTAAAATAAAAAAAACCCTAAAAACTGAAAATTTTTAAAAGCTACGAGTTGTGGGAATAGGAAGGAAACTTCATGATCAAGGGTGTGAGAAGTTTTAGCTGATGCTACTTTTCCTATTCCTCTTAAGTGAGAATTTCATTTCCTTCTTGTGTCTAAGGAGAAGTCAGAGAGAAGATGCCCAGTTGATTTCCAGTCACTCACTGCTTACTGTTGATGTGGGTTAAGCTTTATAGATAGCAAGAGTGCTTTAAAGTTGGAAAATTCACCACATTAAATTTCAGATTGTTCAAATAGACTCTTCTCCTTCAAAGTCTCAGCAATTCAGTATCTTGACTTTGGTCCAGTCAATAGTGCTGATTAGACTTTTGGGAGAGAAGAAACAGAATCAACCAAAAATGGGTGCAATAGTAACAAGAACTTATGCATGGGAGGGTTTAACCCAGAGTGGGGAAGCTTCATCCTTGAAGCCACATGTGAAGGGCCGCACACGAGGACCTAGAAGAAGTGGCCTCGAGGGCAAGGGTTCCCTACCCCTGGACCTGTTGTTTGAGATGCTTGAGTTTTCTAGGCCAGTGTCAGGTGGAGTAGTCCTTGATTGACTTTGCCCTTGCTGATCTCACCTTCTCCTTTCCTCTCTGGAAAATAGGAGGCTTACCTGGAGTACCTGAAGAGCATCCACTACATTTCCCAGGTGCTGCTGGAAGAAGCAGGGACTACTAAAGGTACCAAGGGACTCTCTGGCTCCTGGCCTAGAAATATTGATTCTGCCTTTGCTCTGAGCAGCTTCACTGGCTTCTATTACTTGGCAGGCCCTGTGTTGCAGGTTTTTTTAGATTTTTTCCAAACTTCTCATAATAGAAGAGATTCAGCACTTGAAAGTTGGCCATAGCCTATTTCAGGTGTTTCCAGAGGGAACTCCAAGGGTCCTCAAAATTTGTTCCCTGTGGTCTCTTCAGGGGGTGTGGTTCTAGTTCCACAATGTTTCTTCCTAAGTGCAAAAGCCCTCTGCTCATAGTTGGATTATATTTTGTCCCATTGCTGGCCATATGTGAAGACTAGGTAGGAGCTGTACTCATTGGTCTGTTGAGGAGAGTACTGGTCTAAAGGTCACAAGAGCTAATTTTCATTCCTGATGGGCCTTAAAAAAGCTGAATCCCGCACTGGTATTGGAAGTCAAGTCAGTTCTCCACCTTGTGGTACTAGCTCAAATATGTAAAACAGAAGCAATAATTCTGGTGCTATCTTTACTTCTCAAAGAAGGCTCAGAGTATAAATGAGGGCAGGAGGAGAAGAGAAAAGACAAAACTATAGGATTAGAATGTGTTCCTTGGGAATGTATATGTATAGCCTGTATTAGATTGTGCACCATCTTGGGGAGGGTCATGGGGAGGAAGGGGGAGAAAAATTCTAAACTCAAAAGCATATGGAAGTGATTATTGGTAAATCAAAATAAATTAATAAAAAAAAAACCAAACAATGTGTTCCTTGGGGTACAGTGGGGAAGGAAGTAGTTTTTGCTCGTTTTACCCTTTATCTTGCCCTAGCTTAGGAAGAACCCTGTTTGGAGCTCCAGCTGAACCCAAATTCACTCTCTTATCTCTCCATCAGAGGGGGGTGACACTGTGACTCCAGACACCCCAAAGATGCTAAAGCTGGCTGAGCAGTGTTTGGAGAGGGCCAAGTCAACAGCTGCCAAACTGGGTGAGTGCTTCACAGAAGGGAGGGCTCTCCAGGACTTCTTTCTCTCTTTCCCCTTTGATACGCAGTATGGCCTCTTTTCTTCTGACCCTTGGCTTTGTGTATCATGCAGGGACAGCCCGACTGAAGCCGGCCATCCCTGTGGCTGTTCCAGGCCACAATCCAGCCAGCCGACACCGCAGGGTATATTCAGATGAGGGGGGAAAGTTATGTCCCTTCCTACCCCCAGAAATCTTCCAGAAGCTGCAGGTGGTGGAGTCACAAAATTCTAAGAAGTAAGAGGGGCAAAACCAGTGTTAGACAGAGCCTTCCCAAGTGTCTGTGGGGGGGACTGGATGGGACGGGACAGGTCAGACTTGGTAGAACTCCAGAATCTGACTCAAGAGCCTTACTCTGCTTCTCCTGGCTCCCTGGGTAGGCCCTTTCATTGCAGTGGCTTTCAAAATGGGTGGCCAGCTCCTGGAGAACATAGGGGAGCCTAAGTGGGGACTGATAGGTCTAGTCTGTTTCTCATCCCCATCTCCAGACTGGCTTTTCCCATAGCCTTCTCCAGAATTCCTGAATGCAATAGAAGGTTCCTTGGCACCATGAGGTCCCACAGTTGGTTGGGTTTAAAGCAGGGCTGGGGAACCTGCAGCCTCGAGGCCACATGGGGCCCTCTAGGTCCTTGAGTGCGGCCCTTTGAATGAATCCAGAGTTCGCAGAACACGTGTGTGTTGGGCTGCGGAGGCGCCCTGTGGTACCGGCCAGCACAACCTCCACTTGTACCTTCGAAGCAGGGAGCTCTGAGAGGGGCCACTAGTTCTCTTGCTGGCTCCAGGAACCCCAGTCATTGCCATAGCACGCTGAGGGTACCAAGGCGCTGTGTCAATTTATGGAAACTTTGCAGGGAATTGACGCCCCTGGAAGAGGCTTCAATACAGAATCAGAAGCTAAAAGCTTCCTATGAGGCTCGGATGGCACGGCTGAATCCCAGCCAGGCGGTGCAGAAGACGTCCTTGGTGAGTGGGGCCTGGGCTCAGTCATTGGTCTCCGGCCACGGTGGAGAATTTCTCTTCTCAAGGCTTGGAGAAGAGTCTGCATGGTTGGAATGAGAGCCAAGGTTGGGGTGCTGGCAGCAGGGATGGGCTGGGAAGCAGGCTGCCTATGATGGAGGGAGCCTCACTTTTCCACTTCCATGCCACAGACTCTGTCTCTGCAGCGGCAAATGATGGAGAACTTGGTGATTGCCAAAGCCCGGGAGGAGACAGTATCCTTTCCAGCTCCTTTGGTCTTTGTACAGGAATACAGCTCAGTTGGGAGTGGAAGGATTGAGAGCACTTTTGAGCCCAGGGATGACCCGGGAGGTGGGTCTAACTTTGGCTGGCCTCGGAGAGGAGCTCTCGCTTTTAGTCCTGGGAGTGGCTTTTATCTTTGCCTGAGTATCCCTGGGAATGACACCCTCAGCTCTTAACCACGGTTCAGCTCAGGGACTTAGGCAAGTGCAGAGATGTAGCTCCTTGACTCGACTGGCCTAGCTGCAAAGAAAGATGGAGGAGCGCAGGCTGCGGCTGCAGGAGGCTGCTAACAGGTGAAGCTCAACATCTTTCAGAGAGTTTGGAAAGTGGGGATCCCGTCACTGGCGTCCCTGAGTCACTGCCCCCATGCTCTCTCCATAGGAGGTTCTGCAGCCGAGTAACCCTGACCCCAGAAGAACAGGAGCAGAGAGCTCTTTATGCTGCTATCCTGGAGTATGAGCAAGACCATGTGAGTCCTTGCCTCTGGCTAGGAGGGGCGGGGTGGCAACAGGCCTTCCTCACACAGGGAGCAGCAGGAAGCCTTAGAAGGGGCTTCTCGATTCTGGCAGCTGGTGACCACTGCCTCCTCTTTTCTGGCAGGATTGGCCAAAGCACTGGAAAGCCAAACTGAAGAGAAACCCGAATGACCTCTCGCTGGTGACCGGCCTTGTCTGCCATCTCCTCAGGTATCAGAGACCTGACCCCACCCACTCCCCCACCCCGTCTGGTTCCCTAAGAAGGACGGTGATTATTGCAGCTGATATTTATGGGGCCTTCAGATTGGCAAAGCAGGTTGCATTTATTGTGCCACTGGAGCCTCCCAGCCTCCCTGTGAATGAGGATTTACAGATACAATTCCTGATGTGGGAGCTGAGGTTCAGGGAGGCTGTCACTTGTCTATGCTGTCTCGGCTTAGGAGTTGAACCCAGATCTTTTTGCCTTCAAATCCCATGTCAGGCTGCCTGGGAGGTCTTGCCTGAGTTTCCTCATCTGTAAAAATAAGGACGTTAGATTGGGCGGCTTCTGAGCCCTTCCAGCTAGATCTATGACGCTTTGATCTCAGGCAAATAAACATCTTGTCTGCCCTAGGTTTTTTTAGGCAGGACTAGAATTAGCAAGCCCAGGGTTCCTTCTGCTCATTTTTAGCAAAGGGTGTTGTGAGTCACTCAGCAAATATTTATTAAGCATCTTCTCCTTGCCAGGAGCTGGGCTAGGTGTTCAGTCATTTTCAGTTGTATCTTCACGACCCTATTTGGGGTTTTCTTGGAAGAGATACTGGAGTGGTTTGCCATTTCCTTCTCCAGCTCATTTGATGATGAGGAAACTGAGTCAAATAGGGTAAAGTGACTTGCCCAGGGTCACTCAGCTGGTAGTGTCTGAGGGCAGATTTTTTTTCACTTTTTTTTTTTTAAGGCAATTGGGGTTAAGTGACCTGTCTAGGGTCACACAGCTAGTAAGTGTCAAGTGTGTGGTCTGAGGCCAGATTTGAACTCAGGAAGAGAGTTCTTGATGACTCCAGGCTAGGCAACCTCTGCACTGTGGCTCCCCCCCCCCCAGCTGCTAGAGACACAAAGACAGATAGAACAGCCCTTGCCTATGGGGGAAATCACGTATTCACGTCTTGGTATATATAAGACAGACACTGGAGGGGAGAGGGGAGGGCATTTACAACTGAGGAGAATCAGGAAAAGGTTGGGAACAAGGTGTAAAGGAAAATAGGGATTCTTAAGAGGCAAAGGGAGCCTGGAATGCGCTCCCGGCAGAGGGCAGAGGTTGGGAGGTGTGTGAATGAGAGTAAAGGGTGACCTGGCCAGAGGGCAGGTGACCCTGTGTCACCCGCTGCCAGGGATGCCAGAGAAAGGGAGGAGTTAGGAGCAAAGAAGGAGTCTCTAGAATTTATTGAGTGGGAGAGTGGCACGCTCAGCCCTGTATTTAAGGAAGTCTGACATTTGGAGGAGAGATTGGATGCTGGAAGATCAATTAGGAGGGTCTGGGTGAAAAGTGAAGAAGGCCTGAAAATGGGGGGTGATTATGTAATTGGAGAGAAAGGTGGGGGCAGAGATCCAGGACAAGCTTTGGCAATGATTGATTGTGTGAGGTGAATGCAAGGGAGAAGTCGGGCCTAATACCGAAATACCTCGGCGGAAATAGAGAGGTTCAGAAGAGGGGTGAGGATTTTGGGGAGGAGGAGCCGAGTTCTAATCTGGACTGATGAGGATATACACAGCTTGGACTTGGTGGCGTAACAAGTGTGAAAGCCAGATTGCAGAGGGTTTGAGGAGTGAGAAGAGGAGGTAGAGGCAACAAGGGTACACCGTTCTTTTTTTCCTCTTTAATGTCATTTCTCTTTTTGTTTTTGTCAATGAACGAACATTTTTCTCCTCCTTTTACCTCTACACCCCCCTCCCCACCATTGGAAAAGAAAAAACAAAAGTCTGGAGACAGTTTTGTTAAGGAGATTGACTGTGAGAGGAGAGATTTGGGACAATGGCTTGAGGGGATAGCAGAGTATATTGAAGGTGTCTGTAAGCAGCAAAGAAGGGAGTAGTAGATAAGGAAACACTGAAGATTCAATTGGAGTGGGGAGGTGGGGGGTGGGGATGATTGTAGGGATAATGTACTGGAGAAGCTGGGGGGGGGTTAGGACCTAGGCTACACAGGGGAGGATTCACCTTGGGGAAGAGAAGGTTACCTGTTTATCAGAAGCTGGAGTAAAGGAGGGAATGGAGGAGGCTGTTGAGGGGTGGTAAGATGTAGAGAAGGGAGGAAGGAGGAGCTCACAACAGTGGCCTCTTTGGGAGAAGTGATAAATGAGAGCTCGGACAAGGAGAACTGAGGGCCGGAGGAGAGACCAAGTGCGTGGACTCAGCCTGTGGTCAGGGGAGATAGAAGGCCGAAGTCAGGCTGGAAACAGGAAATCTGGCGTCCAGAGATCTTTCTATCAGGCTGCTTTGACTCTCCATTTTGATCTTTTCGATTTCAGTAGCCCTTCCTAAATGCCTGGAACCCTTTCATGTAGATAGTCTTCCTACGAGAGAGGTAGATCAGGTAGGGAATGGACACCTCATTATCGTAGGGAAATGTCGGTCTAAAGGAACTACATGCTTTATTTCTGGCCATACAGTGACTTGTGTGGCAGAAGGGTCAGGAGCTGGGTCCCTGGCCTAGCGGTCGTTCCCCGGTGTCACAGCTGACTCAGTGCTTCTTAGCTGCATTTTTAACTAGCTGCTCTCCCTTGGCTTCTAGTTTCCCTGACCATCCAGTCTCCCAACTCCTGAAGAAGCTACAGTGTGCCATATACAACAGGCTGTACCCCATTATCAGCAAACATGCCGCCGACTCTAAGACTGGCCTGGGTTGCCCTCCCCTTTCCCTGGACACAAATGGGCTGTTGGCCCCTGGCAGTCGGCGGCTTCGAGCTTCCCAAAGCCTCTACTGCATGTTCACCCTCCCTGAGCCTGTCAGGCTGAACCAGGAAAGCTCACCAGCTGGCCTCCCCACCCCCCTGCCACATCCTGGCCCCCCGGACAAAGAAACAGAAGGCAGCTCCACAGGCTCCCCTTCTCCCCTGGTGGACGTCACTCCCGGTCTGCTGGACAAGGACAGCTCCTTTGAGGACCTGGAGCATCTATTAGCAGCTCCAGACACCTGGGCCCGAGGTCCTGGGGGGCTCACAGGGTCGCAGACCCCTGGCAAGAAGCCGGTGACATTGCCGGAGCAGCTGAAGAGCATTGTAAAGGATGTGCACGATGCCATCGGTGAGGATCAGCCGCTGGGCAGTGACGGGAGGGGGAAGGAAAGGGAAGTCTAAGTTAGAGCCAAAGATCAGAGATTACACTTGTTTCCCCCACCCACGGCTCTTCTGAATCTCCTGTTCTGATGTCCCTTGGCCACTAGAGGGAGCCATGTCCCCCCCAACTTTGGCCGTCGGTCCCCTTGGTCTTGAGACAAAGTTAGCCTTGCTCTCCTGAGCAGAGATTGCTTGTTCCTGCTGTTAACCACGGCTACTTCACCCTGGAAGACCCAGAGGTATCAGGAGCCCGATGGGCCTAAGTGGTTGTGACCAGGTGGCATGGTAGGCTCCCCACGAAAGCCTCAGGAACAGGGAGTAGTAGGGAGAGTGGTGGCCAGGGGGTTGAGGAGAGGGGAAGAGCAGCCCCATTCCTTTAGTTCCTGCTGAATTCTCACGCAGACCCCAGTTACCATTCTGCTTTACCCTTCTACTTTGGCTCTAACCCTGGGCTCTGAGGCTAGCTGCAGCTTGGGCTTGCTGTGCTTATGGTTCTTGGAGTAGGCTGAGGAGCGGCGCAGGGGACACAGGTCTCTAAGAAAGGAAGATTATTTCTGCTGAGTCTTTACAAAGTCTCTCCAGGTTAGCATTCACAGGTAATAGCCATTAAGATAGAAAGGGTCGAACGACTTCTGCCCATTGGATCAGGCAAATTCCCATGGTGCCTGGCCTACAGATACAGCGTCTAAGGGAAAATAGGAAACCCCAGAAGGCGTTAGGCGTGAGCCTCTTGGGGATTAGGGAGCGGGATGGAGCGAATTTTAGCAGCCAGTGTGGACTATTCCGTGGAGATCTCCAGTAAAGGCCCCTGGGACCTGGGGCTCCTTAGCACTTCGAGTGGCCTCTCATGAATGTCCTTAATTCTGCTCCCGGCAGACAGATTGCTTTCCCTTACCCTCCTGGCATTTGAGGGCTTAAACACAGCTGCCTCCAAGGATCGATGCCTGGCCTGCATTGAGGAGCCCTTCTTCTCCCTGCTGTGGGCGCCGCTGCTGGCTCTCTACAGGTATGGCAGCTTAGGGTGGCCGGTTTGCTGTATCTCATGGTACCTACTCTTCACACGAGCCTTTTCCCTTAATCAGACTGGTGTCCTCATTGTCTGACAATTAGAGCTGGCCAAAAGCAGAATGGACGCTTTTGGGAGGTGGTGGTTCCCCTGCATCAGAGGTCTACAAGCAGAGATTGGAACACAACTCGCCCCATTTGTTATAGTCAGGATTCCTTTTAGGTGTTGGTTGCATGGCCACGGAGGTTCCTTCTGCCTCTGAAATTCTGTGAACCTGTGGAAGACAAAGCTCATTTTTTCTTCTGTTCTCTTTGCTTCTCCAAGGTCCCTAGGCCACTCCTGCCCATAACGATTTCCTCCTTCTCCAAATACTTATTTTCTTTATCAATCACTTAGTTCTTATGCATAGGAAACCACTAAGTAGCTAAACCATAAGCTCTCTGTGGTCCAGGACCATGTCTTATATTATCTTTGAGCCGTTCTGTGACTATAACCCAAGATCACATTTGCATTTCTTTTACCTACTTGAATTTACCTCACTGTACATAATGTTTTTTGGCCCATTTTTAGCTTTTCCTTCTTCAGACACTTACTAGCTATGTGACACTGGGCAAGTTACTTAAACTATTTCAGCCTCAGTTTCCTTCTCTATAAAATGGGGATGGTAGTAGCACCTACCTCACAAAGCTGTTGTGAGGATGAACTGAGATAACACATGTAAAGTGCTTTACAAATATGAAGGCAATTGTATAAGTGGTAGCTATTATTATAAATGCCTCTTATTTTATATCTTGGGCTATTTGTTTTCTTATAAGAAGTTTATTTTTCCTTGGTTCTAAATGAAACTTTTTTTTGGTGGGGGGGGGCCAGTTCCATTAATGAGGCTATTTAAAAGGTTTTGTTTTTTTTTTTTTTTTCAAAATTAAATTTTATTTTTTAAACCATTTTAAGAATCAGTGCTATTTACTAAGATGCTGGCTGGCCCCTTTGTACCTCACTAGCTCACCATGATTTTGCTGAAATGTTAGGTTAATATGTGATTACAAAACACATTGTTCTGCAGTAACTCAAGTCAATTTCTGTGCCCCAGATTCCATGCTTTAGGGCCTGCTCGTGTGAATCCTTCCTATTTTCAGTCATTTTTCCCCTTATTTGAATTTTGACGTCTTATACTTCACAACTACCTGGTTCGTGATCTGGTTACCTTATTGTTTATTACCTGGTTAGCTTATTAATCTTTATTGTGAAGACTAAAAGACAAATAAGGATCCAGAAAGTTTTTTTTTCTAGTATTGTCTGTTTTAGACTTTCCTTCTCCTCTCTAATAAAAGGGCAGCTTTTGTCTTCTGTGTCCTCTTGTTTATTTAGAAGGTTCTCCAGTTTTACTTCTTGTCCTAATTAGAACTCATTCCTTAACTCATTCTGGAGAGGGGGAGTTGATCCTTACTCTTTCATAACCATCTGTAGGAGCCTGTCTCATTTGGGGTTCGGTGGTGTTCCTGTTTGCATTTCAGGTCTTTGTGGTTCATTGTTCATCCTCTCATTTCATCTTTCATCACAGGCTTGGGGATCGTCTTTGTGTGTGCCCTTAGTATGGTTTCTGAAGAAACATCCAACTTGATTTTCCTTGGACCTGACAAGGAATTCCCAACCCTCATTCCCACACATGCACACCTGAGACCAGTATGAAGGATGACCCCACAGTGCTTTGGTGGGAAGGGATGAGGTACAGATAACCCCACCCACCCACCCTCTCAATCACATAAGTGCCCTGCTTTAGGAACCTCAACCCCACGAGTCACCCCGGATCTCTGAGACCACCTTCCCCGTGCCATGGTTCCTCCAAGCCCAGTCCAACCCTCATCTCTCTTCTGACAGGATTGTCTACCAAGCCCGAGAAACAGCCCTCAGCAGGAGCATGGAGCTCTGTGGAAACATGCCTCCGTCCGCCCTGGGCATCGCCTCCAAACTCTTCCCTCAGGAGTCAGGGCTCAGAGGCTCAGGTTCCTCCCCTTACTGTACAGCGGTCCAGGAGCTGGGACTGATGGCTCTGGAGAGCTGTCCGCAGAAGAAGCTGGAATGCATTGGTAATAGAAGAGGGGGGAGTCTGTCATTTGTGCCTGGGGGAGGTGAGGAGTGTGCCTGTCTCATGAAAGCCTCCTCTTCCTCACCTCACAGTTCGAGCTCTTCGCATAATCTGTGAGTGTGCTGAGGAGTACTGCGGTGCCAGGGAGTCACGCCTGCAGCCCAGCACAATGGCCATGTGAGTATCACACCCAGTTCTGGGACCCTGGTGTGTGATGGGTCCCAGGGCACTGGAAATGGGGCTTTCCTGCCGGCATGCTGCAGTAGGAGTGCACGAGCAGTGACATTCACTGAGAATCCCTGGCTCAGTCTTACCTTTGTCTGGCAATGCAGTCCCCTGAGGCTCCCTTTTTAAAGGCACGAGCAGCAGGGGACATCTTTGTCTGCTGCAGAATCCGTGCTTAGGGCTGGGCTGGCTTCAGAGATGTCTTCCCCTGAACCCAGTCACCCCCAGAAAAGCTGATGTGGGTGCAGCTTCTGCACCTGAAGCCGGGGGAATGGCCTGATTGGCATCATGGCCATCAAAGTCAGCTAAGGCATGGGCAGATGGCTTTTCCTTTGAATGCATTCAGTTTCTGCTGCGAGGATCCCGGTTACGGAAGGCTTCCACTGTAGCCCCAGAGGCCTGTACTGTGGTATAAGCCAAGAAGCCCGTCTAGGCAGCTGTAGGATAGAGCCCTGGACCTGGTCATGAAGTCTGCCCGGAAGACCAGTTGGCTATGTTACCTTGGGCAGATCACTTAACCTAGCCTCATCTTCCTCGTCTGTAAAATGGGGATAATAATAGCACCTACTTCCGAGGTTGTTGTGAGGATCAGATGAGATAGTGGTCAGTAAACATTTATTAAGTGCCAATGCTCTGCCAGGCAAGGTGCTCGGTGATAGTGACCCAGATAGGAAAAGGAAGGCAGTCTCCGCCCTCAGGGAGATTACAATCTAATGGGGGAAGACAGCACACAAAAGGAAGCTGTGGGGGAGGGAAGAGTGCCCAGAGAGGACAGAAGCCCAGAGGAGTGCAGCCAGGCAGAACCTGTGTAAGATGCTCTACAGACTTAAAGTGTTAGCTGTTGTCATTCCTCTAGGGAAATACATTGTTCCTGCCTTCCCCATCTCCTCCTTGGAGAGCCCTTGACCTTAGACCGTGCTAGCCCCCCCGATTGCATTCAGCCCTGCCTTTCCTGGACTCTGGACCCCAAAGCTCATACTCAGTATATGCCCCAGCTTCCTGAGACACCCCCCCTTCCACCAGCCAGGGCAGAGGGCTGGGAGCAGATGAATTCCTAGGAGGCGCCCTTTTTACCCTCACTTCATAACATGACCCTCATTTCCCTGTTCCCATCCCACTCAAGTGCTCTGGCCTGCATCCTGAGTTTAAATGCCACACTTTTTCTTGTTTTGGGGTCCCAGAGATCCTTGGTTTCTTCATCCTCCCTGCTTCCTCCTCCCACCATCTGACCCCCAGAAGTTGGGCAGCTGCCTACCCCTCCTCTCACTAGTTTCTGTCCCTGTCTCTCCTAGCCATCACCCCCCACATTGGGATCTCATTCTTCCTGGCCGTCTCAGCCTGAAGCAGCTTCCTCCTGAGCTAGGCCAAGTGGGAAAGGGTCTGAGGTCAAGAATGAGATGACCCAGGTCTGGGCAGTTGGGGATTAGGCAGGTCTTAGACACTGTGGCTCCATAGCAGCCATAGTTGATGGTTCTCAGTGTGACCAGCTTCTTATATGTCTTACCCCCTCCTGCCGGCCTCAGAGGGCCATGGGATCCCAATGAAAGCTGCAGCGGTCCTCCGTGCAGGAATCACTGGGTTCAGATCCCACTTTAGACACACTCAGAGGTGTGATCTAGGCTAGTCTATAAACATGTCTGCACTTTCTTTTATTCGTTTGTAAGATGCGTATGATAGCACACACTGCAGAAAGATCGAAGGAAATAATGTGTGTAAAGGCATTTTGCAAACCTTAAGGGGTTGTATAGACGTGAACCATTGCTGTAATTGCCCAGGGGCAGGTTAGGAGGAGACAGATGCTGTACACAGCTCAGGCCTCCAGATGTCTCCCTTTGAAGCCTGGACTGCAGCTGTTTTCCCCTATTCTTAGGGTTGGATTTGGTGCAAGAAGGGCTTGTGACCCACTGCATTCACTGGTCATCTCTCTGCCGATGATTCTCAGAGCTCTTTATCCAGTCCTAAGCTCAGTCTCATGTCACCAGCTGCCACTTGGACATCTCAAGAGTCGGTGTCCCATCGACATCTCAAATGTAACATGTCTGACACAGAACTCATTACCTTTTTCCCAAAACCCTCCTCTCTTTCTAACTTCCCTGTCACCCAGTGTCCATGGCATCTTCAGTTCCTCACTCACACTCCATCTGTCTGCATATCTAGTTTGTTGCCAAGTCTTTTCATTTCTGTCCTCACAAGGCTTCTTGGATATGCCCCCTTCTCTTCTCTGGCACTGTCCCCGCCCTGGTGCAGCCCCTCATCACCTCCCATCTGCCTGGACCTTTGTAGTAGCTGCTGGTTGGTCTCCTTGAGTTCCTCCCCATGCCAGACTGTGCTCCACTTGGCTGCCAGAGTGACCTTGCTAACACAGAGATCTGCCCATGTCACCCCCACCCTGCCCCACCCCTACTTCAGTAAACTCTAGGATCTGTTTATGTTTTAAATGCCTTCACAGCCTGGCCCCTTTCTGCTTTTTCAGTCTTCCCCCTTCCCCCAGGGTTTCTCTAAAACCATCCCCTTCATCATTTCTTATAGCACAGTAGCATTCCATCATATTTATATACCATCACTCGTTCAGATATTCCCAGACTGATGGGCACCCCTTCGGGCTCTAAATCTATGACACCATGAAAAGAGCTGCTCTAAATATTTTTGAATATATGGGTCCTTTTTTCTTCCTTTGATTTTTTTGGGGAATAGACCAAGTAGTGGGGTGGGTCATAGGGTATGTACCATTGAATAGTTTTGGGACTTAGTTCCAAACTGCTTTCCAGAATGGCTCTTTTCCAGCCTCCTTAAATATTCCTCCCCTCTACATACTCTGTGGTCTAGCTACACTGACCTTCTTGTTCCTTGAGCAAGACACCCCATCGCCTGACTCCATACCTTTCCACTGGCTGTCCTCCATGCCTGGAATGCTCTCTCTCCTTATCTCCACTTCCCGGTTTCCCTGGCTTCCTTTAAGATCAAATCCCTCCTTGAAGGGACCTTTCCAAGTCCTTCCCTACTGCGAGTGCCTTCTCTCAGAAATTACTGTCCATTTACACTGTATATATCTTGTTTGTACAATTTTTTGTATATTATCTCCCCAGTTAGAACGTTAGAAGTTCTTGAGGGCAGGGACCACATTTCTGCCTTTATATCCCCAGCACTTATCAGAGTGCCGAACACATAGTGGAATAGGTGCTTAGTAAATACTTGTTGACTGCAAAACAGACTCATAAAGAGGAGACAAAAGAAAAGAGGGCAGGGATGGCAGTAAGCAAAGCAGAAAAGCCAAACTTGACTGACTGCTATGTGTTGGGCACTAATCTAGGTGCTGGGTAAACAAAGGCAAGAAAAATGTCACTCCCTGCCCTCAAGTAGCTTATTGGAGGATATATGCACATATATAAAAATACACAAAGTGAACACATAAGTGTAATTTTGGTGGGCAGAAGACAGTTGGCGAGATGTCAGGAAAGGCCTCGTGTAGAAGGTGATGCTTCAGCTGAGCTGTCAAGGACAGTGGGGATTCTGAGAGCTGTGACTGAAAATAGTTGTTCCAGTAGGAGTGCACAGCCTGTTCAAAGGAATGGGAGAGGGGAGTGTCATGGTCGAGGGACAGCAAGAAAGCCAGTTGGTGGGATCATAGAGAGCAAAGAACAGCAGGGGAAAAGTGAAGGTAGTAATGATGGCGGATGTTATCTGCTGAATGAGGTGCAAAAGGATGGGTTCAGGGGCACCTGTGGAGAGAGCAGCTGCATGAACATCCCTTCCCTAGTAGGGCCTGGGTACTGCCCTCAGAACTGTGTGGTTCCTGGCCACCGGCAGGCAGAGTTCCTTCCACTCGTGTTCATATCCTCAGCTTACCCGAACATCCACAGCAAGGGTGCTAGAAAACAGGCTCTGTATCCCAGGGAGGGTGACCAGTTTCTGGCTGCAGGGTGGGCCTTCCAGGGCCCGGTCTTCTGTGGAATGCAAACTGAGGAGGCAGCCCGACAGACCCTTGGGTTCTGGCCTGATGTTCAAGGGGAAGGTGACCTGCTATTGGCAGCACCATGAACCAGAAAGATCTGCTGCGTCCTGGGGTGCCAGCATTTCCTGACCCCCGGCACTGAGAGAAGGACTCCTGCCAGCCCCCACCTTCCACCCCTTCTCTGCACCAGAGCTGAATTTACATGGGAATCTTACAAATGAGGAGAGGCAGGAAAGGGGCTGGGGCCAGCTGTGACTGGCTCCCAGTAAGGCACACAATCCAGTGGGGGAAAGCCTACTTGAAGGGTCCAGGCAGGTCCTAGAGAGGCTTCCCTTAAGGCCTGTCCTGCACGTCCACTGTTTATGGTAAGGGTCATGCTGGTCCAGGGGGCACTTGGGCATCTGCCCAGTTTTCCCTCATGTGTACGTCAGCCTCAGAGGCAGGAAAGGGCCTCTTATATTTTTCTTCTTTCCATTAATCTACCACCTTGAATTGACCTCAGCTTCAGAGTACCCTAAGTTTTGCATTTTTAATGATTTGTTAATAGAACTTAACAGTAAATGTCAACACAACCAACTTCCTTTGTAACAATTTATATTTAAATGAATTTTAATGCATAAAATTTCATCTTCACCGTCTATGTCCCCCATTCCTTCTCATTCACTTTTCCTCTTATGTGCTCAAGTTGGTATAGACTTTGTTCTGGTACTGACTGCATTTCATAAAGACATCACCATATTTACATGTCTCATGTGTTGTTATATATTAATAATATTCCATTGTCAGTGTGCCACAATTTATGTAACCGTTTTCCTAGTTTTGGACATTTAGGTTCTCTTTTTTTTTTTCAATGACAAATAATGATGCTATGAAAACTTTGGACTCCTTTTTTGTTTTTGATAGCGTCTTAGAGTATATTCCCAACAATGGGATTACTGGGTCAAAGGACGTGATTTTTTTTAAACTTGTACAAAGAGAGATTGTTCTACAAAAAGATTCAACTGTCTTGCCATTCCACCAAAAAAAATTATTGTGCCTCTTTCTCTCCAATCCCACCGGCATTTAATTATTTGGGCCAATGTTATGGGTGTGAGATGGTACCTTAAAGTTGTCTGACTTGTATATCTTTAGGCATTAATGAGGTTGAGCATTTTTTCAAGTGGTAATTAACAATTTGTGTTACCTCTTTTGAAAAACTCTATTCGTATTCTTTGACCATGTTTCTACTGTGACTTATAAGTTACTTTTGTCTTATTTTACCTGTTCCTTATGCATTTTAAATGTTTTTATTTGTCATATTTGCCACAAATGTTTTTCCTAATCTTCTATTTTTAATTCTATAGGAATTTTTTTATTTTATGCAAACACCATCTATTTTGTCACTAATAATGCCTTCTATTTTTAATAGAAACAAGTTTACCCCCATAATTCATTATTCCATGTAGAAAACAGAAATATAATTTGTTCATTAGTTTTAGTATTTGGAATAAGCATGGGAGATTGATAGATTTCTTTCCATCTAGGCAACACTAAAAATAACCAGAAGAAACCTGTAGGAGACAAATCAGATTTGTTACATAGGTCCCCCTGTAAAGTGATCTCAGATGTAGCTGCCAAATGTATTTTTCCTTTACTGGATCTCTGCCCATTCCCACTACGCTGCTGTTTGGTATGGATAGCACTGTACCCTTCCATCCTTGACCTCAGCCTGCCTTCCCTCTGGATCCTAAGCTTTGATTTCTTGATTTGACTGGAATTCCTGAGCTGTTATTCTTAGGCCAGAGTACACTTACTGAGCTATAACACAGCTTGGTGGTACAAGAAGTAGAGTGCTGAATTCAAATTCAGCCTTAGATACTTACTAACTGTGTAACTCTGGGCAAGTCACTTAATCTCTGCCTGCCTTAATTTCCTAAACTGTAATATGGGGATAATAATAGATCTACCTCCTACGGTTGTTATGAGGATCAAATGAGATAGTATTTGTAAAGTGCTTAGCATAGCAGCTGGCACAGAGTAGCTGCTCCATAAATACTTGTTTCCTTCCTTCCTATGATTTTTGGTTTCTCTGCAGCGGTGCCGATGATCTGCTACCCATCCTGTCATATGTAGTGTTGAAGAGTAACCTCCCCCAGTTGGTGTCTGAATGTGCAGCGCTGGAGGAATTCATTCATGAGGGGTAGGAATGGGAAACTGCCTCTGGGGCTAAGGCTGAAGGGGCTGGGGAGCTTAGGAAGGAGGGTGGACTCCTCTGGAATCTTTCCAAGGTCTTGCTCCTCTTTGGGTAGAAATCTGGCTGCTGGAAGGGGATTGGGAGAAAGGGCTAGAGTTGGTGCACAAAGGGGCTGGGAGCTCTCGGCTGGGTCAGCGACTCTGGCCAGTTCTTCTCTGTGGAGCTCTAAGCCAGTCAATTATCCTGGTCTTTGTTCCTGGTTAATAGTTCAGGATTACTCTATACTTAGCCATCCAGAGCAGTCATGACACAGAAGAGAACATCCCGACCAGAAGTATGATCTGCAGATAGTTACATGTGGTGGGGGCTTTTCTTCCCAGGCTGTTATTTGTCTTAAAATTGTTGGGATCTTTCTTGTTCCCACACCTACTCCACTGACTTTATTTGACCTGGAATCTCTCCTTAGACCCTCTTCGCTTTCTAGGAAGTTAACACGGAGCATGTGACTTCTTAGAAACGCCTTTTATTTTTAGCTGAAGTCATTAGAAGCCAGAAACAGAAAAGAAAGATCACCCCTAATTCTACCATCCTCACTGTCCCGTCTGTTGTGTCTTTTCCCTTCCCCTCATCTCCTTGGATGTGGGAAGAGGAGGCACGAGGCCACCCCTGTCTTTGGGGTCAGAGCCATTCCTTAGCTAGCCGACGGTTCTGCTCATGAAACTTGACAACTCAGCAGCTCCCTGGGGTGTGACTTGGGGAGCACGCTGGGCCAGTGGACCTTGGAGTCATCTGAGCCTTAATGTGATGGGACAGGAAAGGGAGGGAGGGAGCCTGCAGGAGACCATGGATAATGGCAGAGCGTGAATGTTCTGGAAGGCGGTGTCTGTGGGAGCATCGGCCCCCCTACCCCCAGAGAGACCCCAGATCTGTGATGGGCCCTCCAGACTCTCCTGAGCAGCCCCTCCACTCTGGTCACTAGGCCACTCCTTGGAGTTGGGTGCTCCAGCATGTGCTGCCACGCTTCCTCAGCCTCATGCAGAAAACATCTCCTCTCATTCTCGGCTCAGCCACATTTTTTATTTACAAAGGCAAGAGTTGCCTTTGGCCCATCAGGTGTCCTCTGAGTTGGATAAAAAATGGAGTGTAAATTTACAGAGTTCAGTAAATCTCCAGCTTAACCATGAGCTCTCTCTGTTCCATTTGAGTCTGTCCGTCTCCAGGGCCTAGTGCTGTGCCTTGCACACAGTAGGTGTTCAGTAAATACTTGTTGAGTTTCCTTCCAGCTTCCCTGATGCTCTTGCTTTTCTGAAGAGCCCTCAGTCTGCTCCAGCCAGAAGCCAGTGCTAAAGGGTGGAAGGAAACGTAGGGGGACATGTGTATGGTAGCGGAGGGATCCCTCGTGAGAGGGCTTGGCCCTGGAATGATGCTGAGGCCGGTCCTGCCGGACGGTGTCTCCACGCTGACGATGGCCTCTGTCTGACCTCTTTGTGCCAGGTATCTTATTGGAGAAGAAGGTTACTGCCTGACCTCCCTGCAGAGTGCTCTGAGCTATGTGGAGCTGCTGCCACGTGGGGCTTTGGTGAAATAGCAGGAAGGAAGGAGGTGCTACTCTGGTCTTGCTGGTCCGCAGAGGAGGATGGAGCAGCCATCCCTGGGAGATCCCTGAAGATAAAGACCTGCAGAAGCCTATCCCTCCCCTTCCCCTACTCCTCTTCCCAGAGAGAGCAGACCTGAGGGACTCTTGCCTTGAAGTCCGAGTTTGCCTGTGGCAGGGCTTGGGCAGGGCTCCTTTTCCATGCTGCCTGGATAGTTTCGGTGGTTTGAACACAGTCGGAGATCTCTCTCCTAGCTTTATTTATCATATCAAGTTCTCCTAATCTCTGTGCACCAGAGGCAGTGGAACATTCTGGAAAATGGGCATGAAACTTGAAAAATGTGGCTTCCGCCCTTCATCTCCTAGGCTTCTCACCGCCACCTCAGCATCTGCTCTCTGGGGGGCTCATGAGAAGCTCTTCTCCAGAGCTGTGGAGAAAACCTGCTCCCCATGGGCAGCCAGTGACATGGGCAAGACTGGCATGCCCAATCCAGCTTTCCCCAGAGCCCTGGGCATCTGCTTTCCTTCCCAAGACCAGGCATGGGGAAGGGACTTAAAGCAAAATTGGGATATTCTCAGAACTCCCAAAATGAGCCCCTAGCTGCTTGTACTTGCTTCTGTGAATGCAGCTGTAGGCATTCAGTGGGACAGCTAGAAAGTCCTTACGGTCAAGCCCTGGGCTGTCCCCGTGGCTGGTTTGCTTAGTCATTGCTGTAACCCTCTCCCCTCTGTCAACACTGCCTCCCTAGGTTGGTGAGGGAGCCACCCTTCCCATCCCCACTGTCTGGCTCGTCCTGTCACAGTCGCTGTATTCCTAATTCCCAGTTTGGAGGCCAAAGCTCTTGAGGTCGGCATGGCGAGCTCTATGCCTCATCTTCTCTGAGTGGGGCCCAGTGGGACATTCCATCTGTCCTCAGGCCTGTTCCTCCTGGACCCCTAGGTTTCATGCCACAGTGGCTTCCTGAGAGTCTCACGGGTGTGTGGCCTCAAGAAGGAGTAGAGCCAGGGAGAACACGTTATGAACAGGGAGCACCCCCTGAGGAGATGACGTAGTGAAGGGTCCATCTAAGAAACTGAACCATCTCCCACCCCTGAATCAACAAGCTAGAGGGAAGGTTTCATGCTGCACCTGACTGTGAGGGACTCTGGGCCCCATGGACCCTCTTTTACTATCTGACCAGAGTGTGAGATAGTGGGTCTGTCCCCCATTGCAGGAGCCAGCATTGGGAAAGCCGTTGCTTTGCCTGCCGATAGGTGCCAGAGTGAGCCCTATAACCCACATATATCACCAACAGCTGCAGGCCTCAGGTGCCCTACTGTTGTGCCAAGTTTTTAGGGCAGTTGTGGCCCTCCAAACTCAGGCTCTGAGGTGGTTTTTCCAACCCCTACTCCGAGAGGAGAATCCCAAGGTGGTGGACGGGGAGGCCCCAAGCTGAACTGCCTTAGTGTGTTCATTCAGAAAAGAACAGGGCCCAGCACCAGAATGTCTCTCTGTAGTAGTTGAGCATGGCATGGGCCCCTCACAGGCCCAGCCACCCCCAAAGAGCATGAAGATACCAGGATCCAAAAGTCACTCTCCCTTATTTGTCTTGGTGTGTTCTGCCCTCCGCAGAGCCAGAATGTGAAGGAAAGAGAATTCAGTGAAAATCCCTCGCTCTGGTCCTGGCATGGGAGCACCCCTGCTCCAGTGCGGGGAAGTGGGGCCAGACCTATGAATGGGCTTCTGGGGTAGGCTTAGGGAGCTGTGACTTGCAGGCCGCACATAACGGCGCTGCTGTTGAAGTTTGACACTCACCCAGGACTCCTCCGTAATCCCCATCAAGGGGTTGGGACCCTCCATTGGAGATCAGGGCATCTTGCTTAGGTTTCTCCTAAGAAACCAAGGAGCAGAGGAGAAGGGATTAGAAACCCGGCTTGGGGTGTAGGATTCTTGGATTTGGTTTTTTCCTTCCTTTGTGACTGGTTATACTACCGCTGTATCTTAATTCTTTATGGGGCCAGATCATTCTAGCAGTCTTCCTAGAAAAAGCCTAGAATTTTTAAGCTCTTTTGAGGTAGAAATAATTGTATTATATTTATTTATTTATTTGTTCAATGTGCCTTGCTGTGCACTAGAATTTATCTGATCTGGCCCCTCTCTATACATCTGGGAGAGTCTGGGAATAATTGTACTCTCCGTGTATTAGGGATGCTGAGGCTTATCTTGAAGCTTATGGTTTGGTTGCCTTTCCACCTCCCCACCCCTCTTCCAGTTTGTCCTGTGCTGTGCAGGTGATCTTTTCCACCCCTGAGTGAACATGGAGCTGTCCAGATACTCTGCTTCTCAGATGAGCCCCAGAGAGAGCTCCCACTTGCACTAATAGCTTGGTCCTTGCCAGTGGTAATGGGTAGTCTGGCTCTCTCCTGATGATCTCCCCAGCCCCGGCTTTTCACTCCAAATTAGGAAGCCCCCCCCCCCTTGACTTTCCTTGTGTTCTCTGCTAGGTCAATGTGAATCCTTTGATGTCCTATGGGCAAAAGCTAATAAAGTCCTATTTACCCTCCCACTTATGTTTGTAAAGGGCCCTGAAGGCCCTAGGTGGGACAGGAGTATCTCCCAGACTCCAGCTTAGCTTTGGACCTGCTATATCTGGACTGTGATAATGTGTCAGAAAGACGGGCCCAGAGGCTGGGAAATAAACAGGTCACTACTGGCCTTGTTTCTGCCTGGCTTGTTACTCTTTGACATTGCCTACACAGATTGGTTTAAGCCTTGGGTGTCATCTGTTTGCATTTCTCCCATAAGGGCAAGCTTCTTGAGGGCAGGAAGTATGGCTTCTGACTCTTTGGTAACACCATCACCCCCTTCCTTTGCATGCAGAACCCTCTCCATGGGGTGTGGTAATAGGCTTGCATAGGCCCCTGGTAGTGGGACTATAGAGAAGGAAGCATAAAAAGGATGCTTAAGGTTGCACCTCTTCTCACTAGGAAACACCCAAGAGAATTTCCAGGACTACTTGAGCAAATTTTGAGGGCTCATAAGGAGCCAGGGAGAGAGAGGGCTACTTGGATTGGAGGGATGAATCACTACCCCTCTCCCCCAGCTCAGTCCTGGGAGAGACATGAGATTAGAGGTGGCCAAGCAGTGCCATATTGGGAAATTGGTTATAAGTCAGGGATTCTTAACCTGGAATCCATAGGGAGATTTCAGGGGCTTTGTGAACTTTGATGGGAAAAAAATTCCATCTATATTTTCACCAACCTTTGGTTTCCTTTATGCATTTAAACTACTATTTTAAGAAAAGGTCCATAAGCTTCACCAGATGGCCCAAGGATGTATAACATAAAAAAAGTTAAGAACCCTTAGTCTGGGGGCAGTGGCTCACCTGAAAAGTTGAGGTAGAAGGCATCATGAACATATGAAGAAAGGCAGGAGATGAGGGAGAAATTTCTGTCCACCGCGCCAGAGAGAAACTTGCCTTTCAAGACTCCAGTAACATCAAAAATTACTGGGATTTGGAAGTAGTTTTTTCCTGTCTCAGGCCAGCTGTGGAGGGGTTCCTGTCACCCTTTATAAAGGGTAACAACTCTTGCCCTCAGGAATGACAACTGGTATGGTGCCGATCATTACTCTCGAAGCCAAAATCAGACTCTGATGTTGCAATTCTTTTTACTAAGTTATTTCTCCTAGGCCCAAATCCTACTGATACAGCCCCTAGGCTTCCGCATACCTTCATTTCTATGTCTGTTACAGCCCTCCCTTCTCCCCAACCAACCAACCTCAGAGCAACAGCAGTATTCTGGGTACACCACTAAAATGTTATGTGTGGGGCCTTTCAAGCCTGGGTGTGAGGCATAACATGAAAAAAAAAACATTCAACAAAAGACCAGGTTTGGGGTAAGGGGCTGGGATCTCACCAGCTGGAACCAAAAGGGAGATCAAGACCCAGGCTGTAATCATGTCCTCAGCCAACCACATGGTCTATGCCTCCTGAGCATACACCTAAATCTATAGAGGCCCTACTTGGAGGTCGAAGGGGTGGGGGGAGTGCCTAAGAATGGGGAGACAACTCCAGGGAGATGTGACTGGGGTATGGAGGAGGTAAAGAAAATAATACCCAGGGGGAAGAGTAAGTCTAGGGTTCCAAGGTAGGACAGACAAGAGGGTTGAGTAGAGACCACAGAGCTCACAGAAATATGGCTCCATGGGGAACACCTCAGCTTGTTCATTGAACATTGCCCAAGAAAGTGGGCTGCCTGTAGCCAGACTTCTATGAGCACCAGGCCATACGACGGTTAAAAGCAGGAATCATTAGAGGCATAAGCAGCCATCTCATAAGAGGGGAAACGGGCCGTATCCAGGTCATCACACTGTAGGGACTAAGCCCCTGTCCAGAGACAAGCAAACCCCATTGCCTCCTGAGACTAGCTGCTGTCTACCCTGAGGGTTCAAGAGCCCTAGATTTGGAAGCTTGAGTCTGGCAAGTTTAAAAAAATGTATATATTAATCTCCAGATGTACCCTTAAACCTTAGAGCGCTTCCTAAGGAGGAAAGACACATGTCAAGCTGTATCAGCCACACCCCGTTGCACCACAGCCTCCCCACTGGTCCTAGTATAACAGGGGATTAGGAAGAAAGATATCTGATTTCCAGCCTATTGGCATCCCCAGAGCTGGGGGAAAGGGGGGTAGGGCAGTGAAAAACAGCCAAGTGCTCTTGGCTTTGAGACTGGGAAGGTATATCCTTGAAAGTGTGTCCAACAAAGGGCGAGGGCAAGTGGGTGCTTTGTAGATTTCCTCTGGGGAAGGGGTCAGGTGAGCAGAGTGACTACTAGGTAACCACTTGCCACCAAGAAGACAGTGTCCCGCTCACCTGAATGAGGTGAGCTCCGAAAGGTAGAAGCATAGTGGAGCCAAGGAGAGGAGGGTGAGCAGCAAGGCTCTGAACTCCTGGAAGTCAAGCCTCCCTCCTGGTCTCCTTTGAGAAGACCATCCAGTCTCTTTCTGAGCCTTCACCCTGGTCACCAGCCCAGGCCCCAGCTCTCTCAAGTGCATTAGTCTGGAAGAGCGGTCCCTTGTTACCATCCCCTTGTCTTTCCCAAGGTTGACCCCAAAATCACAATGACAGAGCTAGGAGAGACCTTGGAGATTACTTGATGGGAAACTGAGGCACAGAGAAAAGACATGATTTCCCCAAAGTCATACAGCAAGTTACTGGGACTCATACCTACTTCTCCTGAAACACTGTCCTGTGCTCTTTCCACTATACTGTGATGCTTCCAAGAGTCCTGTCTGGGGTCTGTGAGCACATAAGAATGGGAAAATCCTTCATCCCCAGTTCCTCTCTTGTGGTATTCTACTGTTACCTTTTGTATTCTGCATTAAGACAAGCTTCAAGGTGTCTATGGGGGTTTAATTCCAATGAGCCACACAAATCTCCATGAAATCAGACCAAGTTCTCAGTTTCTGAAGGGTTGGGCCTCTATTTCTTCCTTTCTCACCACAACTGTCCATTGGAAAGTAGGAAAAATATGATTTTTCAATGTATTGTTGTATAATGACTAATCTTGACCCCAGAGAAGAGACAGAGACATGTACTTGCCTCATATCACTGGAAAGGTGAAGGACTGACGTGAAATGTTACATGTACTGTGCCAGTCACATCAACAAGTATCTATTACGCACTTAACTGTGCCAAGGACTGTTCTGAATTTTAACAGCTATTTCTGTTCCAAACGAAGGCTCATCAGAGCCACATCCAGAAATGGTGGTGATGTCTAAACAAAAGGCGACCATAAAACTTCAAAAAGAAACAAAGAGGTTTCTCCTGGAAAGTCACTGGGCAGGTGTTCTAGTTGCCCCAAGGGTAATCCCACCTTGGCCTAACCCTCTCTCCCTCCTTCATGGCATGTTTTGAATTAGGACATGGGTGTAGGAAAGGTAGGTCATTTGTGGTCAGAATTGTGAGTGTCAGGACAGGTCGAGAGTAAAGGTGCCCATTTTTGTTTTCACATAAGATTTGCTTTGAAGGCATATACTTATAAAAGCTAATGTGATAAGTATTTTAATCTTTTTTTCACGAAGGTCGATGTGTTAAAAGATAAATAGAAAAGAGATAAATTACAAATACACAAAGAAGCAAAAACAATAAAAGGTTTGACTTATATGTTTATGATTGCCCTACAAAGTAAAAAAAAAAGTGAACACTAAAGATTTTGAAAATGTATAGTAATACCACTACTACTCCTGAATGGTATAAGAAAAAGAAAGACAACTTTCTTGGAACATGAAAAATTGCATTGTAGCAATTAGGAGTGTCCAAGAATACAATAAATATCTGCAAGGTAGTATCACCATAGGTGTTCAATTAGAGAGCAATTGATCATGTTAAAGATCGTGTAGAGAGGAACCCGGAAGGGAGGAATGGCAGGAGATGAGGAGATAGGTGTGGTCGAAAGAGCTCCAGGTTGGGACTCCAAAGCCCCAGCTAACCTTGTGATCCAGGGCAAGACTCTTCTGATGTCCTGGCCTTGGTTTTGCACATCTGTCATGGCCAGTCTTGGACTAGATGGCATGAGGTCTCTTCTATCTCTGCCACTCAGATTTTGTGAGGCCTCTGAGATCCCTTCCAACCCAGATCCTGTGATTTTCCTAACAAATAACGTTAGTTCTATTCAGAATAGAGTTGTACACATCTACAGTTGGGAAGTCTCTGGTTTTATTCTCTGAAAAATTATTTCTACTTATTCTGTCTTTCTTTTAAGGCTGTCTCAGTTATTTCCTTTTGCATAATTGACTTTGATTTGACTTACAGCTTACTTTTCAAAGAGATTAATAGTATTGTGAAAAACTGTCTCCAAATACAATTTCTAAATTTATTGCCTAGACTTTTTTGCATTAATCTTTGAAAAGCAACTTAATTGGCCTTTGAAAATAACAATTCCTCTTATTTGGGCTCCTGAAGTTATAATCTCCTGTGGCATCAGAACTGTTATATGGGGGCAGCTAGGTGGCGCAGTGGATAGAGCACTGGCCCTGGAGTCAGGAGGACCTGAGTTCAAATCCAACCTCAGACATATAAACACTTACTAGCTGTGTGACCCTGGGCAAGTCACTTAACCCCATTGCCTAGCTGAAAAAGAAAAAGAAAGAAAGAGAGAAAAAAACTTATATGGTGGCTCTTTGTGACATGAGGTAAAGAAAATGAGAAAAATGGCAAAATCATATGGATCCCTGGGTGGATAAACAGACCCTCAGATAACTGCTATGTAGGAAAGAAAGTTGGCTTTAAAACTAGATTTCCAGTCTACTAATTGACATTTCTTGAGGCTCTCTATTAGATCTTACTCCCTTTTAAGCACTGCAAAATGTTTGTCACAACAAAACTGGCAGAAAATGCTGCATATGTTACCCTTGCCAAATCCTCAGTGTGTGTATGTGTTTGTGATTTGTTACCTTAACCTAACCTCATTTCCGTACCCTTTCAGAAGCCAAAGGATGTCTTTTTTAATCCTCAAGATTTTGACTTGTTCCTCCTTCAAACTTTATTACTTTGAAATATATGTGAAATGTAATCAAGCATTATTTCTTGGAAACAGAGGTTGAGTGTTATGAAATTCTTGTTCCAAAGAACTACGTGATAAAAAGAAAATTCCGGGAGGGGTGCCTTTTCATTACTCACACAGTGAAATCCTGCTCTAGGTAACATCAGACTTA